TGCTTTCAGCTTTGGGATCTTTGCTATGCCAGAGCCTCTTTGTGGGCACAGCCACGCCCTCTGTGGAGTCAGCACTCACTGACCTCTCACTCCCCAAGGTATGAATGTGCATCCTACCCAAACCAAAAGGTCATGTAAAGTTGGGGACCTGGCATTGGACCTGACAGAGCAGGAGATGCCCACCAGCCTACCTGTAAGATTTGTAGTATGACCACAGGCTGGCATCAACACCTGGGTGCGTTTCTCTTTACATGAACACAGTGCCTGCGTCCTGAGAGCTCCCGCTCCTCCCAAGCCCAGTGTCCTCCACCATCAAGTGGGACGCTGCTGGCCTCTTCGCCGTGGGGCTGGGTGAGGAGCTCTCAGCTCAGCACACGAGCACTCATGGAGTTGGTTTGGCGTGAGACTGTGTTTTAAGGACATGACACATGTAGCCTTGTTTAGCCCTGCTGCTAAACCTATGAGGCAAGCACTGTGTCATGTTATGGATCCCAAGAGGCACGCTGCCTTAGCTTCTCTGAAATAGGATGACTCTGACAAGCAATGGCAACCTACCGACTGCAGCGATGTTTTCAGTCATGGGAGAATAGCAGGTAGAGGCACATATTGGAACCCTCAGCTGCACAGAGTCAGACATTAGAGTTGGGTCGAGCCCTGGTCTCTAGTGCTGCCAACAGTTTTTAGATCCTCCCTGTGAGAAGAAGCTCCCCAAAGGCAGGGGACCCTGCATCTCAGTCGCCGGCTGTGTCCCCAACATCAGCTGATCTGGCCCAAAGGACCTGTTCATCGCTGACTGTTCAAAGAGCAAGTCAGAAATTCTGAGGCTGTGTCCTTCAGAGCAGCCAGCCCCTCTTCTCCCAGGCCTGATGTCTTTGCACACATGCAGAAGTCCGTGAAAGGCTTGGTGTCATGTCAGTACAGGGCTCTGCCTAGATGACCACAGTGGTGGATTACAATAGCATGATACAACCCAACCCCCTCTCGCCATGCACCTGTGAGAGGTGTGTGTGGAGGGGGCATGGAGAGGGGCTTGGGGTTCCCAAGGGATGACCGGACCCATGGCTCCTGGGCTGTCTTACGCTTCCTTCATCACCATGGACTACAAGCCACATCAAATCTTTTGGAACCATGCTCCATGTTGTATGTTGTACTGTCGAGGCCTGTTGCTGCATATACCATCAACACTGAAAATAATCTGTGATTTCCTATTGAATGCCTTCCATGGGAACAAATTCTGATTGTAGTTTGTCATCATGTATAAAACATTCCTCAGAGTCCAAACACCACACACCGACTTTACTCTGCTGTGTGAATCAATCTAACATTGGAGGGGAGGGGACACTGCTGCACAGTGGGACATGGTAGTGAGGGGCTGAGTGCTAGGGGTGTTGGGTCAGGTCACGACCCTTCCATTTGCTTGGGATATGGCACATGCTGTGTCTGTCAGATGGGTCCTGCAATGTAGTGACATCGTCACTCCTAAGACTCCTTGCTCGGTGGCATCCTCTGAGCTGAGTAGTTTCTTGATCATGACGCTTTGTGGGGGTCATGTGCATTTCCTGGACTTAAGATCAGTTCCTCCTGGGTTAGGTCACCCTTTTCCCATGGCTGTGCATGTGGATAAGACAGCAGGGAGGTAGGTGGGTTGGGGGTGAGGATGGCTACAAGGAAGGGAAGGAGGTGTCCACCTGTGCACACGGGCAGGTGAAGGTGATATGTTCCTGCCGGTTGAGCCAATGTTGAGGAGCTGGGGGAGTTTATGCTGATGCCAGGAAAGGTGTCTGCTTCATTCCTGCTCTTAGAGCCCAGGATATATTCCAGGATCACACTCAGGCCTGCACAGCACCTGGAAGTACGGACGGCCAAGGCTGTTTTGCATGAAAAGAGCCAGCATGAGCCTAGGATCTTCCTTCCTTCTAGGTGGGAGGTGAGTCCATGCACAGGGCTCCTTGTGCAGCTACCACATATCGGATGCTTCTTAAGCACTAGGGGAGTCCTTGGCGAGAGAGGAGGACTGAGACCCTGCCTTCTTGCCATGGCATGCTGGCTAACCTCCCTGTGCTCCTGCACCTCAGCTAAGCGTGGTCACGGTTAATGTCGGCTTCAGACAACCAAGGAGCAGGTGTTAGAAGACCCATTACACTGAAAATAAAACACATGGGGGTGCTCTCTAGAAATAAGACCTATGTTAAAACAAGGAGTTATTAAAGTTGTGCGTAAGCCAGCGAAAAGCAGAAATACAGCCCCAAGCTTGGTATTGATTTTGGTCCCGGGTGCTTCCCACAGCCAAATCAACCTGACGTCTCTTCCCCAAGCACTGGCAGGGCTGGTGGCAGATCTCCAACTTCCAAACTCCAAGGTTACGTCCTTTCTCAGCTCGGGGCCCAGCCAGCACCCCCACACCAGCCCAGGGCCTCGCTGCTCAAGCTGCCCCTCCCACTCTGCTAGTTGTGAACTTGAAGCGTAGCCAAGAGCAGGTGCACTCTGATCCAAGTGGAGACAGGTTCTCTCAGTAAAACCGGGCTGGTACCTGCAGGCCAGGGGCTTCAGGGCACCTGAAGGAGAAAGCCCTGGACAGTTTGTTTCCCAGGGTCAGGATGCCGTAAGGGTTGTGAGGTTTGCTTCATTCATTCATTCATTCATTCATTCATCCAATCACTGAGTCAGTCCTGAGCGCCTACCAAATGTCAAGTGGAGAGACAGGAGGGAAGAAGACCACATGCTTGTCCTCTTGGTATTTGCTTGAAAATCAGAGTTGGAGGCAGAGAGATGGCTGCCATGGCAGGGGCTGGGCCAGGCTAAAGTCAGGACTCTGAAGCTTCTTCTGCTCTCCCACCTGGGAGCTGGGGGGCCTGCTTTCCCAGGCACATTAACAGAGAGCTGGATTGAGAGTGGAGTAGCCGGGACTTGAACCAGCGCCCATATGGGAATGTGGGTGTCCCAGGTGGTGTCTTGACCTGATCTGCTACAATGCCAGGTCCTATTTTAGGTAAGGTGGTCAGGGAAGGCTTCAAGGAAGTGGTGACATTCTAGGTGAGCTCCAATAGCCAAGAGGGAGGTGGCCTGTGACGGGTAGGGGAAGGGCTGCTGCAGGCACAGACACTAAGGGGGAAGACAAGCAGAGCGGGCATAACCGTGAGAAAGAGTGGCTGGCTGGTCACAGGAAGGTGTCGGAGTTTGGTTTTGGTGAACATAGGCCTCCAGCTGGGGGCAAGGTTAAAGGATGGGCTGCAGTGCCAGGAGCCTGAGGCAGGAGCAGCGGGGGATCCTGGCCCAGCCCTTGGGCTCAGCAGGCATCTCTGCAGAAGTGAGGAGGGACAGGCAACAAGGACGGCCATGTGGACAGTGGCTGAGGCAGGTGAGTGTCCAGTGCTGGAGGCAGCCCGTCTCTGCAGGGTCCAGACCCAATGCCAGGATTTTAGAGAAGGAATGGGGAGAGGCAGCCATGTCGGACTGAAGCAAATGTGTGTGGTTGGCGGGGGGACTCGCTGTAGCTGCAAATTTGATGTTCAGGAAGACATGAAGTTTCAAGTTCTTATTGGGTGTGGCTAGGTGTGTTTTTCCAAAGAGCGTGCAGGAGTGTGGGATTCTCAGGGTGAAATCTCACGGAGGGAGGCGACAGGTAAGCGTCCCCTGTCCCATGGCCTGTGAGGGTGTTATGTCATTTAACGCTGCTTGGCTAAGAATTGGGGAAGGAGGTGGGGGCGGGGGCCAGGTTAGCCACCGGCATCTTCCCTTGGGTCCTGACCTGAGGACTGCTGTAGTTCTCTCCTCTCTCCTGCTGCCCCTGGCAGAGCCCAACAGGCTGGCTCTGTGGGGCCAGGTTCTCAAGGGGCACAGGGTCTGGAAGCACAGGGCTGGGTTGGAGACTGGAAGTGGTGGGCGTGGAGTACCTGGCCCGGGAGGTCAGACACTCAGGTGAGTGTGTGTGTGTGGGGGGGAGGGGCAGCACAGCCATTCCCCATCCTCAATGGATTGTGCCTAAGCACCTGGGGAGCTGTTAATTAGAGGTCGGGGTTTGCTTTTTTCCAAGCAACTCTTTCCTCTGCCTACGAAGGCGATGCTGACTTACCCTCCTTTCCAGAACGCCACCAACAGTGTCTGGCGTCCTCATGTTTTTCCCTGGGCTCTTGCCTTAACAGGTGCCGTACCACCGACCAGAGTTCCCGGCCAGAACGGGGCAGAGCCGCACGGCAGCGCGCGGCCGCCAGGGGACGCCAGAGGCCTCGGCTCGCGCTCCCCCCGCCCGGCTGCTCCGCCGCGCCCGAGCCGGGGAGCGAGCGCAGCCAGAGCGCTGCGGGCTCACAAAGCGGCCGGACGCGCGGCGGGCGTGCAGGGCAGCGAGCCGGCCACCAGCCTCCTCCGCGACCGCCCCACACGAGCTCGAGCACTCGGACGCGGGGACCCGGGCCGCTCCCCATCCACCCACCCCAAGGTACAGCGCCCCCGCGTGACCCCTGCGCCTCAACTTGGCGTACTTGGGACCTGGCCGCCGTGCCCCCGGAGCGGGCAGGGTCAGGGCCTGGGGCCGGGGCCGAGGCCGCGCGCGGGGCAGCGAAGAGAGACGCGCCCTGGGCTACGCGCGGAGACCCCCTCGCCACCATCAGCACCAGCTGTGGGGTACCCTTCAGCCCCAGTCGCCAGCGCCCGGGCTGCAGCTCGGAGCCCGGTCCCCTCCAAGCCCCGAAGCGCCGGGTCCGTCCGGTGGAGCGCGGCTGTCCGGGAGGGGTCCCGGAGCCCGCGGTCGGAGACGGGCCGTGCCGGGGGGCACCCGGGGCGCCGGGCGGAGGGGTCCCGTGTAGTTCGACAGCCGCCGCCAGCGTGTGACGCAGCCTGGTCGGCCAGAACGGGGTTCCCCGGCTCGCGGCGCCCCGGGGGCGTTGGGGTGCGAGGACGGCCCCGCCCGCCGTGCCCCGGCGCGGGAGTGGAGCCCGGGGCGAGGGGGTGGCTCCGGGCCTGCCGCCCTCCACGCCCGGCTCACAGCCCGTGCCCTGTCCCGCAGATGCCCGCGGTCGCCGTGCTGGCGGCTGCAGCCGCGTGGTGCTTCCTCCAAGTGGAAAGCCGGCACCTGGACGCGCTCGCCCGAGGCGCGGGCCCCAACCACGGCAATTTCCTAGACAACGACCAGTGGCTGAGCACCGTGTCCCAGTACGACCGCGACAAGTACTGGAACCGCTTCCGAGACGTGAGTGCGGCGCGGCGCGGCGGGGCGAGGGAGCCCGGGGAGGGGGCAGGGGCAGGCCTCGCACCCAGGCCGTGGGCCGCGCGTCCTGCTGGCGAGCAACTTTCGGAACTTGCCAGGCTCGCGGCTCCGGCCCGTTAGCCGTGGCCCAGGTGTGCGTATTTGCAGTCCGAGGGCGGGGCTGGGGCCGCGAGGAAGGCGGCTGAGCCAACACCTGCGGCGGACCCCGGGGGCGCGTCCTGGGGTGAGGGTTGGCATTGTCCGGCGCCCGGAGACCCTCTCTGGGGGTAGCGAAGGGCTCGCGGGGTGAGGGTGAGGTAGGTGTCGCCGCTGTGAGAGAAGGTGGGCTGGTGTCGTAGCCCTGGGCATGACAGACACTGGGGCGAAGGGGATGTCAGGATGGAGAGCAAAGTTACGGCTTTGGTCCTTGGGGTCTTCCAGGAAACGGAAGGTGAGGTTACTGCCCGGGACCTGGGCGGGGACAGAGTCGTTCCTGAGCTCCCGGTGGCGCTGGGGCTGCCAGTGTCTGCCCCAGGGCCGGCCCCGCTCTGCAGGTGGCCCCAGGGAGAAGGCAGCAGGAGGTACCCGGTGCCGTGGGTCCAGCAGATGGCGTCGGCTCTGTGTGGTGGAAGCCGCCACCGGGCTCTTTCCCGGCGGCCAGAGCCGTGCCCTTCTCCCGCACTTGCAGCTACCGTAGTTTATCGTCTCATCGTTAGGAATTCCTGTCTGTGCAGCTGTCCAGAGCGTGCTAAGAGCGAAGTAGAGGAAGGCTTCTGTGTTCTGAAGCCCTGCTTGTTTACTTGTTTAAAGAACAATGTTAGGTATGAAACCAGTGTTTTTAATTACATGTTAAAGAGAACACATTGAGCCATAGACAAAGCCTGGTGTGTGTGTGTTCATCCACTGGATTCATCTTAGCGCCGTTCTCTGGATACTCACCGTAAGGAGAGAGGGTCCTAGGAACTGGAGGAATCCGGGTGTTGTTGTGGAGCGCCTCTTGGGGCCCTTTTGCTTGAAGGTGTGTCTGTCACCCCTGGCCTGGCTCTGAACCCCCCTTTCCTCACGTCCTGCCCTTGTCTTCCGATAGCAGTCTTGGCTGTCTTTGCCCAGCGCTCACAACGTTGCCCAGACCCAGGTGCCGGCGTTCGTGCACCTGACTGGGAGAGAAACGAGTTGCTTTTCTTTTTATTCACGGATTTGAGGTGGAATTAAGGGCCAGGGCAGACATTGGACTCTCCCGGAGACACCAGGCCTGTGCCGGTGTGGGGCCGGGCTGAGGACGCTTGAGCTCATCGGCTTTTGGTTAGAGAACTGTTTGCTGTGCTTTTCTGTGTGTGTTTGAGGTTTCCTATTCTCTGTGCATTGTAAACTAGTTGCTATCTCTAATTCCTGTTGAGCTTTCCATGTTAAAAAATCAGGCTTCTCTTTTCTCATTTGTCTTCCGGGTGGCGGTGATATATATTAAGCCTTGGGTCACTGCTTTTGGAACCTTGGCTGAAGGTGAAGTCCACCTGGGTGGTTGCTGAAAGATAGTAGTAGGCTGCACCGTGGGGCCCCTGACTGTGCTGCTCGGGGTTCAGTACTGGGAGTCCGTCCTAGCAGAAGCCGACTCGTGAGGTAGTTCTTGGGGCGTTAGTATAGGGAGTACTTCCTTATGGTTAGAAACTGTCCAGGGCTGAACACAGAGAGAAATGCATTTGTGCCCCAGTGTGCTACTGGTGTTGGTTTGTTTTGGAAGCATTTTTATATATTAAAAAATAATCTTAGCAACATCTCTCTTTTTTTAAAAGATTCAATTGTTATTTGGGAGGCAGAGCTGGTAGAGCTTCCTTCCGTCTGCTGCTTCACTCCCCCCCCCCCCCCATTGTGTAGAACAGCCAGGGCTGCACTACGTTGGATTGAGGAACCAGGAACTTGGTGTGTGTGGGTCCCCCACACGGGTGGCAGGGACTCAAGTACGTGAGCTGCTACCTGCTGCCTCCCAGCTGCGTTGGCAAGAAGGTGAATCAGAAACAGAGGGAGAGGATGGATTTCGGATGCTCCAGTGTGGGCAGCAGGTGTCCCCAAGTGGCAGCTTCAGCTGCTGAGCCTCTGTGCCCACCTGAGGAACATGCAGTTAACAAAATTTTGATCCAGTATGCCACTGAAACCATCTGAAACTTTTTCAGAATCTGAAATGTCTTCAGTTAACCATTTTCTGTGCTTTCTAGAGTCTCCTAATACCAACAGCAGCTTGAACAAGATTGCACGTCTTCAACCTCTTGCAAGTTTTGTGCAACCCAGACCAGGTTGTGCTTTTGAGCAAGCCTATTGTCTTCAGGTGGTGCCTTTTCTTGGGGTAACCATAGCAGCATGGCTCCCCTGGGACCAGGCAGTCAACACAGGCTTTTCATGGGGGAACAATGCAGTGGAGAATGGATAAAGCCCAGCAGGGTTGCAGGTGCTCATCCAGCCTGATGGTTTTCATGTGCCTGGGGTTGCCAATGCTCTGTGGCTGCTTTGTTTCAGTTGTGTTGTTGAAGCTGCTGCTTGTGGATAACTTGAAAGGCAGAGTCCTGAGATTACCATGAGTTACGATGTTTGTCAATTTCTGAAATTCACTGTAAAAGAAAAAAATACTTTTCCCTGCCTACTCCCTTTGTTGCATTTGGAAGAGAGTTACTGAGATAGAAACAATGTTTCGACTTGGGAAATTGATAAAAAAAATTTTTTTAAACAGAATTGTGGGCTGTGATTGGGTTAGTTGGAAGTGGGTGTGATGGTGGGAGCTGTTGGGTGGTCTAGACGTTGGCGGGATAGTTTGGATCCTCTGCTCACTGCGCTGTGTCCTGGGTCTTTGAATCCTGATTCCTCACATTCCCACCTCCTTCCCCCTCAGAGCTGCTTCCTGGCTTGTAGTTTACAGTTGTGGACCCAGGAGAAATAACTATAGCATTCAAGTGTGTGTGTGTGTGTGTGTTTAGAGAGACTTCAAGTTTTTTTTTCAAGATTTATTTATTTTTATTGGAAAGTCGATTTACAGAGAGAAGGTGAAATAGAAAGATCTTCTATCCACTGGTTCACTCCCCAAGTGGCCACAACAACCAGAGCTGAGTGGATCCGAAGCCAGGAGCTCTTCCGGGTCTCCCACGCGGGTGCAGGGTCCCAAGGCTTTAGGCCGTCCTTGACTGCTTTTCCAGGCCACAGGCAGGGAGCTGGATGGGAAGTGGAGCAGCCAGGACATGAACCGGGATGTATGCATGTATGGGATTCCGGTGCATGCAAGGCGAGGACTTTGGCCACTAGGCTACCATGCTGTATTTGTGCTTCTGTTACTCTGGTCATTATTCTTTTATAAGCACTGGTAATTGAGATGTTTTTGCCAGATGGAATCCAGACTTTCTGCACAAATGAAATATTAAAAAGGAGATGATGAAGAAGGCAGATGTTGTGCGATAATTTTTCATCTCAGCTGTCAGAAATCTTAACTCCTCCAGGCTGGAGGTTGAAGGGTCAAGATGAGCATTGGCTTTGCGTAAGTGGTGAGGAAATGTTCTCTGCTCGTTCTTAGCTTCATCAGGGCATTCGTGCCTCCCCACACAGGATGGGGAGCTCCGAGGGAGAGTGCATCATCTTCTCTGTAGCTTCTTGTCTGCTGGATGCAAGCATTTAACTTCAAGACTTACACCTGACTTTCTCTCTTTTTTTTGGTAAGATTTACTTATTTTTATTGCAAAGCCAGATATATAGGGAGGAAGAGAGACCGAGAGCAAGATCTTCCGTGTGATGCTTCCAAGCGGCCGCAGTGTCCAGAGCTGAGCCGATCTGAAGCCGGGGGCCAGGAGCCTTTTCTGAGTCTCCCCTGACTCTTTAGATGTATTCCCCTCACATTTGCTGGGTGCACTTGAAAGATGAAGGCATTGCACAAAGGGAGAGCTACCAACACTTACGAGGTATTTAGCGCTAGGCATTGTTTAAGCTGTTTTCAGTGTATATTTCTCGTTGAAGATCACTAACCATCCTAGGGTACTTTTACAGTCTCCTGTTGACTGGATGGTAGAGTCTGTCCTTCCATTGAGGAGCTGGGCTGCAGAGGGGCCTGGGCTGGAATCAGGCCCATCTGAGTCACGGTTCTCCATGCACACAGCAGCCAGGCAAGAGTCCAGTGGCTTTGGGAATCAGCCTGTATTGATCCTACACTACACATCTTCCGTGGTTTACATCAGAGGGCAATTAATGAGCAGCCTGACACTGCGAGACGGGTGACAAGGTGGACTCCGTTTAGTGTGGGGGTCAGGTCAGGGCTTCCTTCTCCTAATCATGAGCCTCTGATTTGAAGAACACAATATTGTTGCTTACACTAAACATGACATTTTCTTTCTTTGGCACACATGAAAACTCGGCCTGACATTTAACTCCAGGATAATTACCTGTAGCAGGCCCAAAGAATCACAAGTGTTGCCTTGGCTGGCATTTCTCTTACAGCGCACAGGGCCCTGGGTTTGTAATTCTAAAGAGAATGACACGTGTTCCTCCTGTGTGCTCTGTGGGGATGGGCGGCCTCTGTCTCAGAACTGGGATGGCTCAAAGCCATCTGATGTGCTCACTGCATCTGAACGCCTCAGCCATAATGAATCTGACGGACCAGTGGGGCTTGCTGATGGAGCTGTCGCTGGCTTAGTCGGCCCGGACTGGTGACAAGAGAGGGGGCGTGGCTTATGGATCAGCCATTAATCTGTCACTACGGAAACTTGATGTGTAATTGAGAGTAGCAGAAAATCATTTTGATTAAACAGGTTTGAGGTGACACAAATGAGTTTGTGATCTTCACACTTTAATGAACCCACTATCTTAAATCCTTCGTGCCAGAATGCCATTGGTAGATATAATTACTTTGCAGGAACCATGATAAGGGGCAGTGTGAAAGCTGACAGGCCTGAGAACATTCTGGACCTCTCACACTCACCCTCAGTTTGTTATGGTCAGAGAAAGCCTGTGAGTTCTGGTGAGGGTGGCAGAGCCTG